GTCCCAGGCAAAGGGGAATAATGGGATGGGGAGGGGGAAAGAGGAAGGGGAGATCCTATCACACTCCCACCCCCACCCACCTGCCAGCACCTTGGCTTTCCTCTGGGGGATGAGAGTACTCCCTACTCCAACCTGGCCCTCAGGCCACATCCTCATCCCTCTGGGCTCTCCCTCTTGCAAAGCAACACCCCAAAAACACATCTAAAGCCAAGGAGGGGGTGAGCCCTGGGCCTGCCCAGTGAGGGAGCCAAGATCTCCCATTTTCTACTCTCTTCATTTCGGTACCAGGACAGGCCACTCAACCTCTATTTTCTTAAAAGCTTTCCCCCACTTTTTTTTTTTTTTTAATTTAAAAAAAAAAAATCCAATTATAGCACAAATCTCTCAGCAGGGGTCAGTGTGGAATAAGAATAGCCAAAGTTAATGGACATGACACAGGAAAGATAAATGCCTGAAGGGTTTCAAAAGTTGTATGATGCAGATTTCATTAACATTTTAATTGTAATGTATCTTTTTAATCTTCTCTCACCCTAATGGCTTTACTTCCAAAAAAAAAAAAAAAAAAAGAAAGAAAAAAAAAAAACTGCTGACAACAACAAAAAGTATCAATATACAAAATTTAACAAAGGCGCTTAGCAGCGCAATAGTAACTAGATTAAATGAGCAAAAACTGTGTTAACATTGTGATTTTTAAGAGCAGAGTCAAGAGTGCAGCAAGAGTGGAGAGGGCAGAGAAGAGGAGGGAGGCCAAGGACAAAGCCCCAGGGCCCCAGTAGGGAGGGGAATGTGCCAATACACTGGTGCCCCAGAAGTCAGCAACAGGACAGGACAGCAAACCACATCCCCCAAAGCCACCCTCCCCCAAAACTCCCCACCCATCAGCAACATAGGAGATGGAAGGGAGAGATTCCAGAAACACCAGAGGATCAGGCAAGCATGCCCCTCTTTCCCAAATAGGGCTGTGGGTGAGAAGACACTCCCGATGGCCCCCATAAAAAGTTTCAGCATTTCATGTTGAAAAGACTACCCCACCAAAAGGCACCAGATCCTACCATCCAGTCAGGGACCCCAGACCACTCTTGACTACTGCTTCTGACTTTTAAAAATGGAGGTTTTCAAAGTGTTCCTGGCTCTGACTACAGAGGAATCAGGACATTTTTATTTTCAATCAACACAACATTCCTTGGGGGCTGATTTTGCTGGACCCAAAGTACTCTACCCCAGATCCTCCTGCCTTTCAGACTGCCATCCCTCCCCACTGGAATGCCAGGGGACATTGGCCACCCCAGGACCAGACAGCTCAAAGGCGTGACTCCCTGCTCACCCCCAGTGACTATATATGGGCACTTTCAGGCCCCATTGTTCCCACCCCACCCCTGCTTGCTTCCCAGACACCAGTGAGGGGCGGGCCTGGAGCTGGAGCCCATCTGCGGCCGGCCGGATGCCCTCCTGGATGCCAGGCCTGATGCAGGGAGGAGGGGCAAGATTCCTAAGAGCCCCAGCCAGCCCTTCCCCAGGGACCTGGAAACAACTCCAGAGAAAAAGCCTCCTTCTCCCTGGGACTGAACCAGCCTCCCCTTAAAGGGCCAGCAACATTCCCACCAAGGGACTCACCGGTCCCAATGGCAGCAGGCCAGGCAGAGCCATCTTGGAGACCTGGGGTGGGTTCCAGACAGGGAGGGTCCCACAGCCTGGGGAGAGGGCAAAATCTCCAGTAATCTGGCCTCAGGTTCCTAATCCAGCACTTTCCCAGAACCCAGGCCCAGCACTGCACAGTCCAGGGCAGGCAGGGACGTGGGTCAGAGTCCATTCTCTGTTCTGCTCAGAGGACAACTCTCTGGGCCAGAGACACTGTGAGCGCCAAAGTGAGGACGCAGAGACTCCTCAATGTTCATGGGCCTATAGTCTGGCCTATAGCAGACACAGGTCTCTGCTTCTAAACCCAAACTTCCAATGTCAAAGACAAGTCTGGCTCTAGCAAAGTGGGAATTGCAGGTGATGCCAACAGGAGGCAGGCCTGGGAAAGAGTGAGAATTTGCTAAAACAGCAACAGAGGTTGCCAGGAGCTCTGCACTGGAGAGCAGGCCAGAACAGCCACCTTAGGCCAGATCACAAGCTGCTTCTCCAGTAGTGGGGGCCCAGCCAGGGGTGGGGGTGGGGATGGCATAAGGCTGAAAGGAAAAACAAAAAAAACAAAAAACAAAAACAAAACAGAAGGAGGTGGTGGCAGGAGAGGCTATGAGCAGAGCTACATACATCTGAGAAACCAGGCAGAGACCACGCTAGACACTAGCTAAGCCTCCCCCACCACCTCGTGGTTACTCAGGGCCAGGCTGCTCATACTGCCTTGGTGATGAAGGATGAAGTACAGGTAGCCTAGGGGACAGCCCTGACTCTTCAGGAGGAGCTTTGGGGGTGGGTGGAGCAGTCTTAGCAAGCCAGTTCTGAGCAGGCTCTAGCACCCCTTCAGCACCTGATCACACACCCAGGCAAAGCAGACTTTACCCACCACCCAACAGGGCCACACAGAGGTATAGCCTACACCTGCCAGGAGCAGCTTTGGGCTGGTGGTACCTGTCCCCTGCATTGAGGAAGTGGCTCCTGCATCACCACAGGGCTCTGCTCCCTTCTCCAACGGCCAGACAGACCTGGAGGATCAGGGGTTCAAGGTCATCCTCACCTACACATTTAAGTTCAAGGCCAGCCTTAACTACTTAAGATTCTGTCTCAAAAAAAAAAAAAAAAAAAATCAAAGCAAAAACAGGTCTCAAAGTCCACACAGATTTCTTCAGCCCAGAGTGACCCCTAGGGACAGAGTCATGGGTGCCAGCATCCAACCCCCTTCTAACCAGCCACTACTCCTCAGAACTCGAAGGCAGCCTACTTCATCCTGAGAACCCAAGCCCAGAAGGAGGCCAGTGTGGACCAGACACACATAACCATCTATCAAGACAAGGGTGGGTTCCAGCAGGAAAACCAGCACACACTGGGGGAGCGGGTGCAATCAAAGTCACTTTCTAAGATGCCCCTTACACTGGAGGTTTGTGGCTTCGTGGAGAAGGTAAGGGACTGAGATATGACAGCGGTTCATGGTCACTGAACCAACACACCCTCAGCAGCTTGGGAAGCCTGGTGGTTTATCCCACCCCCACGTCCAAGGTGACTTCAACCCACTGTAAGCTCTCCAGAGAATTCCCTGGAAGCCACCAGGCAGGAGGAGCAGAGCTCAGAAGACAGGAGATGGAGTGACTTCACAGGCTATGATATTCAGGGAATAGGTCTGGGGCAGGGAGCGGAGAGAACATGGACAGCCAGGGCTGGCACCCACTGGGTGCCATGCATTCTAGGATCCACGATGTCAGAGGCAGACACTCACATTCTGTTAAGGCTACAGCTCTCAGCTTCTGCCCCATCAGTGCTGGACCCCCTATGCCAAGACCAGACAAGATCCTGGAGCTCACATTGCCCACCATGCAAAATCAGGACCTCTGTGGCAAACAGGCCTCTTTGGCATACCAGCTCACCACCTAAAACCACAATGCAGGCGCAAGAACAAGTCTGCAAAAAGAGGTTTGTCGAGGCTGTCAATGTCGTGCACAAACCCTCTCCCAGGAAGAGATCTCTGGGCACCCCACACACAACACCAGCAGTCCATAATGCAGACTGATGGTGGACGGCGACCAGCCCAGGAGCAATCTGGCGCTCAACTCTTGCAGCACAAGCGTTTCTCTCTGATAGTGTTTCCCAGCACTCTAAATGGCTCCGAGCTCCCGGAATCAGCAAAGTTCAGATGCCAGGGTGCACTGCCTTCACCTCGCACCATCCTGCCATGGGCATGACCATTAAGGAAAGCTCCCTGGCCGCTGTGAAGTGACAAGTGATACATCGTTCTACTTGGGCTAATTCCAACCAGATGGTCCAAAGAACAGGGTCAACTGCCCTGGGTCTTACCTCTTTTCTTTCCTCTATTTGGGCTCCTGCTAAGGTGCCACCCAGCGAGGAAGTGCCACAGAGCATCCTTGAAGGAATAAAGAGTAAAGGACACTGGTGGACAGAGTAGTTGGCTCCGTGGGCCTGGAGAAGCCCGTGGGAGGGTGGGACAGGAGTGCTGGCTGTCCAGCCCCTGGCTGAACAAGCTTTGTCCCCTCAACTGTGAAATGACTAGTCACAGCAACCCTTCCAGGACATCATGTTTAAAGACCACACAGAGCGAGCACAGGGCCCCACGGGGACATCCTGCCCCCATCCTTCATCAAAACAAAAACAGAAGGGAATAGCAGTCAAGAGTTTGTAGAAGGAAGAGAACAGAAAAGGGAACCAGAGGCAGAAGAGAAAAGCCAGAGGGCTATCCTGGGGAGGATCGGTACATGAATATGCACATGAATTTCTCAGAAGGGAGGGTTTTACTGGACCAAGAACCCAGCCAGGCTATCAAGGACCCCGTCCCAGCCCACTCCACCCCGCTATGCTCAGCTGCAGCGCTCCCCATAACTACACCTGAAGGCTATTACATAGGGCCCAAAAAACACCTTCATCCTGAAGCGCCAAGGAGAGGGAGTAGGGTACAGTGGGTGTTGCCGATGAGGTCAGCTCCAGGGAGCAGAATGGGGGAGCCCACAAACCCTAGGGCTCAGGCAGCACCAGAAGGAGGGTATCAGCAGTCAGCAGCGCAGAACGGATCTGCCTACCAAAGGAACCCAGAAAAGCTGAGGTGACCCACAGCCTCGCAGAACATATGCTCAGGAGAAGCAGGCACCAGGTCCCAGCCTCGGGTGAGAAGCCACGGAGCCAGCCAACCTCACCTCCTTCAGCCCACACACCTCTGAGTTTTCTTGGAGAAGAGTCTGGAGACCTTAACAACTTTGCGGAGATGCAGAAACAGGGACAAGCCAAACGCCCCCTCCCACCGCAGCGAAACCCAGTGTCTCCCGAAGTTGGAGTTGGCGCAGGAGAAAAAGGGAGGCAGTGACGACCCCTGCCCACCCCACCTACCCGCCCACCTAGTCAGGGAGGGCAGGCACGGGCCGAATCTGATGCGCAGACACCCTGCCTCTGACCTGGCCCGCCAGGAGGGGTGTGTCCCCTGCGCCCTGGCCAGGGGCCAGTGTCATCGGGGCTTCCCCTCCCGACCGGGACGACCCGCGGTCTCCCGGGGCCACAGGACCCCGGCGGGAAAGGAAGGTGCCTGGAACCCCGGCTTTGGCCGGGCCGGGCTCTGGCCGGGCCACCTCGGTGAGCCGGCCTCTCCGCTCCGGGGCCAGCACGCAGCTCCAGCGCGGCCCGCGCCCCACTCGGCCGCGCCCCAGGCGCGCGGCGGGCACTGCGGCAGGCGTCGGGTGCGCAAGTTGGGCGGCCGCGCCGCGGAGTTTGCGGGAAGTGCGGGTGGGACGACTGGCCCGCGGCGGAAACGGCGCGACGCGCGCCAAGTTGGCCGTACCTGCGGGCACCCGGCCCAGTCCGGCCTGGGCAGCTGCGGCGCCGCCCGCGGCAGGAAGTGCTCCGGCGTCCCCGAGCTCCGGCGCCCGCGGACTTTCTCCGACCTCGCCCAGCACCGGCGGCCGCACCGCGGCGGGGGCGGGGCACGGGGGAGGCGCCCGCGGGCTGTTTAAAGGGACAGAGCGCCGACCGCGCGCGCGCGCGCACTCGTTGCCAGGTGGGCGAGGGAGAGGGAAGCCCAGAGGGGTCTGAGGAGATCCCGACTCCTCAGAGTTGCTGCGCCGGCCCTCGTGAGTGCTCAGCGTCAGGCACAGAAGGGGCTGGGATCAGCGGCGGAACAGGGTTAGGACTTGGGGCACCCGGCCCCAACCTCTTAATTCCCCGCGGCTGCGCTTGCTCCCACCAGCCTGGGACGGGAAATCGCGTGACCGAGCAACCTTGGAGCAAGTACCACCCGGCCCTCCTGCCCACTGACTTACAGGCACTTACAGGCGTGTGGAGGAGGCTCTTACTGTATCAGGCCCGGTGGGATCCAGACATGTGACAGGCTCTCCAGTCACTGTCAGCACGGCTTTCTGCCCAAGGCCATGATATCATGGACAGAGAGCTGGTTTTAAGTGCTTAGAAATAAAACCGGCCACACACCTGAAAGTACCCAGGAGTCTCTGATTGCCCTTCCAACCTGAGTCCTATTATGTGCTCAGACATCAGTGCCCTTTCAGGGTCACGGCCATCTTTGACCCCATGCTCACGCAAGGGTCCATGAAGAAAAATAAGAATGGCACCAGGAAAGAGGTCATGAGCAAGGTCACCAGGAGGAACGGCTTTAAGTGAACAACTGGCCCATCTTTCCCCAAGACCTTTGCTGCTGGCTAAGGTCTTTGCTAGGCACTAGCTTGGCAGAGCCTCCCAGTCCCTGGCTTCCGTCTTTGTCCTTGCTTTGGTTATAACTGACCCTTGGTCTGAACTTGCCTTCAGCTCTGCTTCTAAAAAAACTCCCTCACTCCCACCCCAATACACACACACTAGCACTTTCCCCTGCCTGCCCATCGGGAAGATGGATAGGAACCTCAATCCTGGACTTTCCCCAGAACTCCACTTAGATCTAAATTTGGTCCTAGGTCCAAAAGCCCACCCCTACCCACACTGTCAGTCTAGTGAAGGCAGTCTGATGTGCTCAGGGAAGCTGAGGAGAGCAGGCAAGAGAAGGCATGCTGGAAACTCTCAGCCACACCTGGTTGAGCTGGAGGTAGCTGGAGCATGGAGATGGGGCCCATGAGCCACGTCTCCACATACCTGCTCCACACAGGTGAGTGGAAGGCTTGGGCTCCCACAGTGGGACCAAGGCTCCGAGCAAGCCCGAAGCCCAGGCAGGAAATGGCAATTACAGAGGATTCCTTCAGGCTCCTAACTTTAAATACCAGCTCCAGTGCCTTGAATCCCAACCCTCTGGAAGCAGAGGCAGGAGGATCTTTGAGTTTGAGGCCAACATGGTCTACACAGTGAGTTTCAGGACAGCCAGAACTACATAAGAGAGACCCTGTTTCAAAAAACAAAAACAAAACTCAGCTGCATGACACCAGATGTAGTCCACTAGGCACTGAAGTCCTCTAGTGACCAGAGCTATATCACTGTGTACAGAAAGGACCCATAGGTGAAGATGATGCCAGGCACCCTTCCACACCCTCCCAGTGAAAGCCATTCAGCTAGCACCTTGCAGTGTGCATTTTTTAATTTGTAAATGTTACTATTATTAACATTACTATTTGGCAAAGCTAGAGATGAAATCTAAAACCCAGGGTTTTGCTCCCAGACCAAAACCTAAAGTTTTCAAGACAGGGTTTCTCTATGTAGCCCTAGCCGTCCTGGAACTCATTCTATAGACAAGGCTGGCCTCAGAGAACCACCTGCCTCTGCCTCTAAGTGCTAGGATTAAAGGCATGCACCACCACCACCTGGTTCAAAAATACTTTCTTTAATGAGTGTGGCTGAGGAGCCTCTTTAATTGATCAAAGCAAACCTGGCCTCCATGTTCTCCCTGTATCCCCTCAGTTCCTACCTACTAAAGGGCCCTCCTGGCTAGCACACCCCACCTGCACTCCCCAGAAGATGGGCCGCTTCTCCCTATATAACCCAGCCATTTTGGCTGCCCACTTTTTGTATCTTTGAGTCTCCTGGCTGAGGCACCTGGCTCCTCTCTTCTCTCTCCCTTTCCCCTCTCCCCACACGACCCAGCTCAAGGCCATGTACACTCTGGACTCTTCCAGAGGTCCCTGCCTCTGACAATGCTCTCCCACATGTGTATAATAAACCTTCTCCTCCACCATACCTAAGAGCAATACTTTCCTTTCTTTCTTTCTTTCTTTTTTTTTTATTTATTCAATGATGTATTAGGAAAACACTAGATATTTCAGTGGACAAAGCCCTTGCTATGCAAACTTGAGGACCAAGGTTCAGATCCCTGGATTCACATAAAAGCCACTAAGGCATGACTGGTGAGCTCTGGGATCAGGAAGAAAGCCCACCTCAGGAAACTGAGTGGAGCACAATCCAGGAGGACACCTAACATCATCTTCTAGCGTCCACACACATGTGCACACACGTGTACATGCAGTCCCCACATGTGGGCCCACACACATGCAGACACGTGTGCAGAAAAAGGCAACAGGTAGCAGTTGTTTCTCACACAGATATGGGCATTGGTTTGCTTCTTTGCATGTTTTTGGTGCAAGCATGGAATATTTAAAATCCTGGCTTGGCTTGTGCCTGTGCTCAGAACATGAGCACATTGCCTAACTCAACATTGACAACATGAGATCAGCTCTCCTAATTCCTGTTTTATACATGAGAAGAATTCAGTTTAGGAGGAAGATGCATGCCAGCTCAAGGCTCACTTATTTGATGTTCTGCAGAATGAGGATTCAGCAGTGTGTGGCCTCTGTGGTCCTTTCCTTGCACTTGGTCATTGTAGAGTAAGAGGAGCATGAGGTACTGACTGGGATACAGCTTGGCAGCACAGTGCCTGCCTGTCCTGCCTGAGGCTTTGCAAACAACCACTGTGAAGGGCAAGTTTACCTCTAGCTGAGCCCTTAGGGTCTTCCCTCTTTTATCTAGAAAACAACAGCCTGGGGTTAGAACACAAACATCTCCAAACAAACCCTGAAGCCACAGAGATAGGGCCCTAAGCAGTCACACGCTGGAAACATTAGCACACCGAACTCTTGTTTCCTCGGGAACCCTGAGAGTATAGGAGTTCTGCCCTGAGGCCTGAAATTCCCAGAGGCCTGTGGATAGGCTCCAAAGTGTAGGGCAGGTATGAGACTGAATGCCCAGGACTAGGAAGAGATCTGCTTCCTTCAATCCAAGACTCCTGCTTCTTCCACCCATGATGTTACTTGATGACCCACATTCCAACCCTTCTCACTATAGCAAGTGGTGGCTTCATTGGCTGGGCTTCCTGTCACCCTTCTCACACCCCAAATGCAAGCTGCCCTCGCAGATGCTCTGTGTCACATGAGTCTGGTCATCTCACACTACTCTACCTCTTTCTTTGGGTCCAGCATACCCCAGTCTCCTCCAGAGAAGAGCAGGCCTCCTCCCAGACACTCTCTCCAAATCCCATCTCTCAAGGTCCTTATGGCTGTGAGCAAACAGCTGACAAGAACATCTTAGGGAACTGGGTATAGTGGCACACATCTTTAATCCCAGCACTGGGGAGACAGAGGCAGGAGGATCTCTGTGAGTTTGAAGCTAGCCTGGTCTACATAGTGAGTTCCAGGATAGCCAGAGCTACATAGGGAGATCATCTCTCTCTCTCTCTCTTTCTCTCAAAAAACAAACAAACAAAAAACAGCTCAAGGGAGGAAGAATTTATTTTCACTTACAGTTCAGGGCATACTATCCATCAATGCAGGGAAGGCATAGTGGCAAAAGCCACTTGCTGGCATCTCTGTAGGTCAGGCAGCAGACTGGAATATTGCCTCCCCACCTCACAGCGCATTCCAACTCCATGCTTGCCTAGTACCAGCACTACCCTCCTCAGAAGCTCTGGTCACACTGGTTTTACATGGAAAGTTTTCCACCAGTTCTGAGACTACTCCTTCCCCGGTGCCTTTGTTCCTGCTGTCAAAGGAATTGGCTATGCCTGCCTACCCATTTCCCAATACAATAAAGAAACAAGTAGCTGGATATGGTTACAAAGAAGCCCAGAACCTTATCACTCAGCAAGGGGAAGCAAGAGAATCAGAAATTCAAGGTCAGCTTCAGCTGCATAGTAAATTCAAAGCAAGCCTGGACTGCCTTGGCGCACACCTTTAATCCCAGCATTTGGGAGGCAGAGGCAAGTGAATCTCTGAGTTCAAGGTCAGCCTGATCTACATAGTGAGTTCCAGGTCAGCTGGGCCAATATAATGAGGTCCTGTCACAGAACAGACACACACATACACTTCACACACAATTAACACAAGAAAAGCGAAGGGAACTTACCCAGTTTGTCTACATGAGGAAGAGGGGCAAACAAAGGGGTCCAGTGAGTCTCAAGAATATCTTGAAGGTGCTGACAGGTTCAGGATTAAAGAGAGGGCTAAAGATATGCAGAGTTCAG